ATATAGAGAATACAATTACAGAATTAAAAGCTGAAGTTGAAGATTTACATAAAGCAATAAAACAACCCGGTGGGGAATTACCAATGAAATAGGTCAAAGAGTCCCCACTGGGTAGCTTAATTCGAAGGCACAATAGCTCGGTGCTGATGTTAGATGTTGATTTGATCTCACTGATTTTATATTTTTTTGGGGGGTGCTCGGGATTAAGTACTGATTTCAAATTTTGTACTTAACAATGTATTATTCGTTTTAAATTATGAACAATCTAATGTAATCTTTGGTTTGGAGATATAACACATGTATTTTGGGTTTTATTTGCGGTTTTATGTAATGATTGTAAAGGATTTTCTCAGCTGTGAATAAAAGTATATATTCTGCCTAAAAATTTTGTTGAGTTGTCTATTCTGTGGCTTACATTCTGTGTATTATTTTATATTGTTGTTTCATTTGTGGTTTGGAGATATAATCTATGGTTTCAAATCTATTATGTTGCTTACATATCTTATTACATAATATATTCTGTGACTTGGAAATCTAATTACATAATATATTCTGAGGATAATAAGCTTTAAAATCTGCTTACAAAATTCTCAAAATCTATTTACATCTACAAGTCTGGATGTCCCGTCGCTAAAAAAAAACTCATAAGTCTGTCGCTCACATCAGTTTCAAAATCTCATTTAAACATGTTATCATCGGCACGTCCCTCTGCAAACAACTGCAATAAAGCATTCACATCACCATTTTCAACTCTACATCTCTTCTCCCTTTGAATGAAATTGAAAGCATCTGTCTTTGTGCATTTCAGGTTCTCTACACCCCCAACTTCTTGGGCTAGAAAGTTAAACGCTTCTTTTGGTTTTATCCCTTTCATAGACTTTAAAGGCGCAGTTGACACTCGTCTTACAAATATAGAGAATACAATTACAGAATTAAAAGCTGAAGTTGAAGATTTACATAAAGCAATAAAACAATCTGGTGGGGAATTACCAATGAAATAGGCCAAAGAGTCCCCACTGGGTAGCTTAATTCGAAGGCACAATAGCTCGGTGCTGATGTTAGATGTTGATTTGATCTCACTGATTTTATATTTTTTTGGGGGGTGCTCGGGATTAAGTACTGATTTCAAATTTTGTACTTAACAATGTATTATTCGTTTTAAATTATGAACAATCTAATGTAATCTTTGGTTTGGAGATATAACACATGTATTTTGGGTTTTATTTGCGGTTTTATGTAATGATTGTAAAGGATTTTCTCAGCTGTGAATAAAAGTATATATTCTGCCTAAAAATTTTGTTGAGTTGTCTATTCTGTGGCTTACATTCTGTGTATTATTTTATATTGTTGTTTCATTTGTGGTTTGGAGATATAATCTATGGTTTCAAATCTATTATGTTGCTTACATATCTTATTACATAATATATTCTGTGACTTGGAAATCTAATTACATAATATATTCTGAGGATAATAAGCTTTAAAATCTGCTTACAAAATTCTCAAAATCTATTTACATCTACAAGTCTGGATGTCCCGTCGCTAAAAAAAAACTCATAAGTCTGTCGCTCACATCAGTTTCAAAATCCCATTTAAACATGCGCACGTCCCTCTGCAAACAACTGCAATAAAGCATTCACATCACCATTTTCAACTCTACATCTCTTCTCCCTTTGAATGAAATTGAAAGCATCTGTCTTTGTGCATTTCAGGTTCTCTACACCCCCAACTTCTTGGGCTAGAAAGTTAAACGCTTCTTTTGGTTTTATCCCTGACTGTGTCATGGATCTAAGCACATTTGCATTTACTTCACTTATCTTTTTGATGTAACTCAATAAGTGCTTGTCACCAGGGTTCGCTAATGAGAGGTTATGTGATTCAATTAATTTCTTAACTATCCAATTGTCTTCCTCATCAACTCTGTATCGAATCATTTTATGGGTGCTTGTCACCAGGGTTCGCTAATGAGAGGTTATGCGATTCAATTAATTTTTTAACTATCCAATTGTCTTCCTCATCAACTCCGTATCGAATCATTTTATGTCAACCAATTCTTGTTTCTGCTCTTCTATATTTAACAATTGTTGTAATCTTGAGCTCTTTCTTGAAACCTGCTTTTCCACATACTAAGTATTTCGTCTTGATATTTCTGGAGTTAGTCCAAAACGTAGTGTGATCCTTACGAACACTGAATCCAATATGATGAGCATAAGTACAATATACTTCATAAGCTTCTTTTTCATTGTGGACCATCGTTTGGAGTAATATGTTTGTTATTTGCTCGGTACAACTAGCATTGCTCTCACCAAACTGCACACAAGAGAATAAAATGTTAGGCTCAATAGAAAGCTTAAAAAACATCCCTAAACTTCATAATGACACCTCAAAATAAAAAAAAAATAAAAAACTAACCTAAAATCATACATCTCCACAAACATGACCAAATTGTACACAAGAGAATAAAATGTTAGGCTCAATAGAAAGCTTAAAAAACATCCATAAACTTCATAATGACACCTCAAAATAAAAATAAAAATAAAAAAAACTAACCTAAAATCATACATCTCCACAAATATGCGCCTCCAAAAACTTTAATATTTTTAATTATCTACAAACTTGCGCCTCCAAAAACTTGAGTTTAATGAATGATAGGATATTTACTTCAATGTTTACTTCACTGTTTTTATTAAACCTAATACCATGCAACTATACAAACATAACACAACATGCATACTTTACAAAAAATACAGATACTTCCCAAAAATAAGAAAACCATAAAAGCAAAAAAGATTAAAGAAAACCCTAAACAAAATATAATAATAGAACATCTCCAAACATGCCTCCATTTTAAGTTTCACTTCTTCTGTCCTGTCAGAATAACTCCCATATTCTCCTTCTGCGTCATGAACTGCGTCAAACATAAACTGGCACTCTCTGTACTCATAGTCCATCTTCAAGTTCAAGAGGTCCAGCTGTCGGAAGCTGCCGCTGCAGAAGAAAATGACCAGAGAATAATGAAATAGTAATCCTAGCTGCTTAAATATCATGTTTCACGCTCACCAATTTTAAATCATGTACAACGCAGTTACATGATGGGTACACGCGCGGTTCCAATTGAACGGGCTTAATCATCTGTTACGCTTAATCATCTGTTACATGACAGTTACAAGAAGGTTACAATCTCTAATCTATGCGGTTACAAGCGTTGTTCCGCTATACGAGCTTGATAATCTGTTATACTGCGGTTATAATCGAGTTACAACAATAATATAAATCTCATTCCGTGGCGAAGACCTTAAATCGAAGTTTCATTCAAGTTACACGCGCAAGATAGCGGGAAGGTTACAACCAAGTTACAACAAAATTACAGACGCGTTATATGAGAGTTTACCGCAGAAGGTACAGGACTAGTATAGCAATGTTACAATCAACATTAATGCATGCTGACCGTAGGATGATTTATAGGCAGGTTATATCGGAGTTGATTGGATTACAAACGCTCGTGGCGACATTAATTCAATTTATTATTACAGGGCCGCCGCAAATTACATGGCCTTGGGGATCCACGCATGGCTGCGTAGTCTTACTTGAGCAAATTTTTTCCCCCTTGTATGCATGGAATAATGGCTCATTCCGTAAAAGACTGGATTCCTAACGTAGCGCACGAGAGGGACGGCAATCTCATTCTCAATCACCGGAAAAGAGAACTTTGAGTTAAGAAGCAATGGTATTGCTGCCAATCTCTTTTTTAACTCTGTTGCGAATCAGTCTTTTACCCTAGGTTTAGCGTTCCCTTTTGCTTATCGCTGCTTCGGTGGATCTTGATTCGGTTTTAAAATGGATCATTTCTTAGGCGCTTCCCAACCGGCAGCAGGTTGATTACACGAGGTTCCATCTCTTAATCGATGGGGATGCTCGCACTGGTGATTTCTTCTTCGTTTTATTTTGGTTCCTTCAGCTGTTTGTTGGTGACTAACTTTTTTGGTTAGGTTTTATAATTTTGAGGGATTTTATGATCTTTTGCAGGAAAGACTACTTTTGTCAATCGACATCTGACGGGGGAGTTTGAGCAGAGATATGAGCGTACGCGTCTGTATTCAAATATTCTAATTGGTTGCTTTATTGAAGTTCTTATTTTATTTGCATTTATTTATTTTTTTAAATCCCGAATGGACGGATTGTTTCCAGTGAATTATGTACAGCAACCAGTGCTCTTCAGGTCCATCCCTTGGATTTTCACACCAACTGTGGGAAGATCCGTTTCTATTGCTGGGATACTCCTGGGATGCCGTGGCAAATAGATAGATTTTAATGAGTTCGCTCCCTATAAAATAAAGGTTTTTTTTATTTTTTTGAATTTCTAAGAGCCTATTTAAACTTCATTGATTTCAGCATTGCATTCAACTGATTTTTTTGTGCAGTGTATAAACTGGAAAATGTTAGGGTTTTGCAATTAGCATTCTGAATGTCAAGTGTTAATCATCTGTTGTACTTTGTAAATATCAATGCTCGAGTGAAGCACCCTGTGGTGCTTTTTCAATAAAATATTGACATACTTTTCACTTACCATCAGTGATCATGTCGTTCTTATTCACTTTTTTAATTATTTGATTTATCTTTTTCCCCTGGTTGTGCTTTTCTTATTCTGCTGAAACTCATGCGCTTGTTTATGTCTTAAAGGCCTTCTGGCCCTTAAGTTGATATTTAGATTTTTTTTCTTGTCTCATTGTCTTTGTTCATGGTGTTTGGCTCTTACAACGGAATCAACATGCTTTTAGCGTGAATGTGAGAACATTATAATTGTTTGTATACTTAGGCATTTTAATTTGAATGTTTAGGATGTAAATAGTCGATAGTTTTTTCCTTTTCTGCTGTCCTTCAACAACTTCTGCGGCAAACATGATGTGCATATTAGTCATATTTTGACGGTCTTTTGTTAATCTATTAGTCGACAATATGGTAAATTTTTGGTTGATTGAATCACCATAGTATGTAATCAGCCCAAGTTTTTAAGATACTGAATTGCTCGTCAAGCTTTCTATGGCTAATTTTGCATCAATGTTAATTTCTTTTCAAAAGATGAGTCCTTGAAGGACTCTGAAGATAAAACATTTTTTAGACCAGAATACATTTTTCATTCTTGTTCAATTAATAGCTCTACTTTCTTTAATAAGGTTAATTTATCATGTGATTCATCTTGATTTTGTTATATTTGATGTTAAAATTCTTATAAATTTATGTATCCATATTAGCACTGAAGAACCATAAATTGTATCAACCATGCCAACCGAGTTTCAAAACTAAAAAAAATAACTGGTCTATTTACCACATGAATGATAGATATAATTGTATATGTCTTAATGGAAGGCATATGGTCATGACCATGTCTTGAAGAATTTACTTCTGAGATTCATGGAAATTTACCCCCTTTTTTTGGTTATTTTAAACCGCCCAATTGTTCAGTTTGTCAATATTTCCAACGCTTTACTCACCTTTATCCATATGATTGTAGTTTTTATTTTTTAAAAGTTGTTTAAGTGGTCATATTTGGGTGATGGTTCCTTCAATGTAGAGAGACTATTTTGTGAATTATTTTTTACGTAATTTGCTTTTTATTAAATGTGTTCAATTGATCATATTTGGGTGATGGCATTGGAACCAAGCGTTGTGTCCCTTCAATGTAGAGTGACTATTTTGTGAAATTTTATTTACCTTGTTTGATTTTTTTTATTTCATAGATACATGTGTGGGCATACAGGCGCGTACACACGCTCACACACTTTTTTTTTTTTTGCTATTTATCTCCAATGGTTGTTCTGTGTTGGACTTGTATATCATATCACTCTCATGCTTTATAAGTCAGTTTCGAGGTCATAGGCCTAGTTTTTCAGCTTGCGCACTAGAACTAGAACAGTAGTTGTGAGGGGAATTTTGGAAACTACGAGGTACATGAGTTTGATGAACTCATGAATTGTAGAATCCGTTAGCCCAAATTGGGAGGGGTTTAGGGTATGAGTATCTCATAGGGACACACCTAGTACCGGTTGGTCAAATGAGGGAGTAGGTAGATGGGTGGGTTGTAACTTAGGGCTGAGTTTGTATATAATGGGAGGAAGGGGTGGTGGGACACATTGAAAAAAAAAAGATTGAAGCATCTAAACAATATAAGTAAGATGTTGCATGTATGAGGGACTAGAGTAGTTCTTAGAAATAAAATTTGTTTGTGTTTTCCTTTCATTATATTTAAATTTCTCTATTCACAAAGGTTACTAAAATGATTTTTCTGTAAAGAGAGAGGAATGACTGATAATTTTAAATCTTTTTCTTGATTGTTGGGTTGTAGGAAAAGAAAAAAAATATATCCAATTGTTCCCTTGATATATTATAATAGCATCACCTTTTGCTGAGTAATTTTTTTCAAGGGAAAATTACATACATAGCACACAATCCTTATGGAGTTTCTTATCTCATGCCTAAATTTTCATTTTTACACACATAGTGTTTTATCTATGGATGAAAAAATGGATTTGACTATTAAAAGATGATAAAAGAAAAACGTAAATATGATGTTTTTGGTGCTATGTATGTAAAAGCCCCTTTTTTTAATAGCTGTTTTTGGAATAAAAGAAATATAGTAGTTCATGTTTTATAATCTATCCTTGATTGGTCTAGGGGAAGTTGTAGGCATCAAATGAGAGCTGATAAAGATTTCAAAGATGATCAAGATTGGGAATCCATAGAATTACGCTGCAGGGATTCATTCCATCCTATAAGTTTGGTATGCTAGTTTTCTGTTCAACTCTGACATGAGTTGGAGTTTCCCAAGAGTTTGTAACCTGTCAGTTATGATTTTAAAGTTTCTTGCTTTAAGGTAGAAACATGGATTTGCCATCAATCACACAACTTTGAGTATATCAGGCAAACATAAGCTCAAGCGCTGGATTCATCTCATCCTTGTTCAGGAGTCGAGCTTAAAATTTAATTTGGAAAAGTTAAATGGTTTGGTAAATAGAAATAAACATGTCCTTGGGTAAGTTGCTACAAGGGTTTCCAATGGTTTGAGAAGTGATGGTAGTTGCATGCAATGGACCCCAAAAGTATTTTTAAGGCTTTTTTGTGTCCTCAAAGAGTGTAGCAGAAATTGAATCTAATCTACTTGGGAGTAGAAAGTTGTTTTGACATCATGCACGAATCACAGAGCGCCATATGCTTTGATGAACAAAATGCAAATAAATTATAGGTTTCAGTTCCCTTAATCACCCATTGAATGGCTTTTTGGTTAGAGTATTGCGATGTATTGCATTCATTTACATGCATTTCACTTATTTTGATGCTTGGTTTAAAGAAAAAGGAATAGAAAGTAAAATTTTGAGTTATAAAGAACACTCTCTCTGAATTTTTACTGCATTTAAAAGTTGCCGATTTTGAAATCTAGACAGTATGCTTCTCGTTCCGAAGCCCCTACCTTTGCCCATTGATGCTGTCCGTTACTCTTTTTTGTCGTTGGTGAATTCACCTGAGCTCCTTTATTTGTTGACGGCATAATCCTCACCTCTTCAAGTCGTAACTATCCTTACTTGGTTGCTTCACTCTCTTTCCATAATCTTTGTTGCAAGAAATCTCCACCAAGCTCATTCTATCATAGGTGAACTCTTCCAAGCCCTCTCCCATTCTCGGCACCTCTCTTGTACACCTCCCATAACCCCAGACCTTTCCCCAAGCTCTTTTAAGTTGTGCCACCATCGGCCCTTTCCACTCTCTCCCTCTGCTTTCTTATTTTGTCACTGTTAACCTCCCTGGAGCCCTTCCTGTTGTCTGTGACCTTGCCCTCTTGTGATCAATGGTCTAATCCAAGCCACTTCAACTTATAGATAAGAGAGCGAATGTGAGATTTCTAAGTATTTAAAATGTATTCTATCAAATACAAAATAGATATTTCGGCATATTCTATATTTCTATTTGTATACAACTATAAAACTCTTTAAATTTTAGATACATTTTATTGCAATACACAGCATTTCTAACATTCATGCATTTGAAATACTTGCCATACAACCCTTAAAAAATTGACTGAGACTTAAAATATAGCATTCAATCAACGGCTTTTAAATATCAATCACTTCTATAGAATAATTAAATTATCCGTAGATTATGGCATATTAGGCTAAATACTAGTTATAGAGGGTATTGCTTGTAGTTCTGTACAAATTGCAAACTAATCAAATGGTTAAACCTATAAGAGTTTTCACGTGATAGAAATAACTTGTTCCTATTTTGGTTTTTTCATCCACATAATCCATCATTATTATCTTCAAACAATCAGTAAACTGAGCAAGTAATCAATAGCAATTTATAAAATTGAAACTATGACTAATGATAAGAAATAAAGAGGTTAATCTCCAAAACTAAACTAAAATATTATCTTTATACCTAACAATAGAAGGTAATGCATTTAAACTAAAACAAGCCTTTTGGCATGCTCATAATCTCGATAGCTATTGTCAAAAAAATGCAATAAGGTGTGTGCTCCTCTACCTTAGCAACACGTGCTAACACTATTGATAGTTTAAACTAAAACAAATGCCAAAGGTTAGTAAGTTCAGAAATATATCCAACACAGGGCATTCAAGTAAACAAAGAGTAGAGAAGTCAGAGTGTCAACAACATGAAGAACATAAACAGCTTTATAATGACTTAGTGTAGCAATTGAACCTAACAATAACCTATATTAACAGAGGCAAACCCCAAAAGTAGTACCAGGCCAAAACCACGGCAAGACGGAACAACGGGAAGTGAAGATAAAAATTGTCATGCATGCATTAAAACAGAAATAAAACAACCAAACTCTGGTCAAGCTAGTTACTACAAACATTGAAAACAAAGAAACTTATGCTCATGCATAATTTACTGTATCTCAATTTATTTATTCTTTGCAGAGGAAAACGGAGTATTTTGGCTGATACATGGATGAAGGAACTGGAAAATTATCATAATCAGCGAAAACTGCAATGTGAACAGAAAATAATAGAAACTTACAGCATAGAAGCATATAGAAAGGCAGTTAATTCTTGAACTAAACTTAAAATAGCTCAGAAAATGGGAATCATCCATCCTTCAAAAAAAGGAATTTAACCAAAGGCCCTATTTTTGATCAAAACGTTGTTCATCTTCTATTTTTTAGTTCAAACTATTAATCTTCTGCACTATTTTGGATGTGGTCGTTAAGATAATGGATTTTGTTACTGTTCTTTTGAATGTCGTCAAAGAAATAATGGATTCTATTGTTCAAATAATGCGACAAACCCCAACTGATTTCATATTCAGATTTTGTGACCATAACAATTATTTTAGTAACCTAATTTAAAATTGTGTAATGATCATCCATTATATTAGCAACCACGTCCAAAATTATAGAAATCAATTTCATAGCTCTGGCTAATTTTCTTATTTTATGCTTATTTTGCTTCAATCGTAGAATCTTTCTAATTCATCCTTATAGAAACACGGCCTCTCATCGTCCCTATTAGCTTTATTCCTACTAAGAACTGCTATTATGGATCCTCATTTCTTATTCATTCCTATTGAGCACTATTTGTTGTGTTAAATTTGTACAACTTCTATTCTTGTGATCTTTAGGACCATCTTTCTTCATTTCTTTATCATTTAACGCTAATCTTATCAGCTTTTTTGCGTCACATTCTCTACCTTCAATGGAGAATCTATGAATTTTGTTAGTTGGGGCACTATAATAAAACCCATATTTATTGTCTTAATATTCATTGTAGGTTTGACTAGTTACAAGTTGGTTAAATATCAATGGTGAGTTGAAAATGCCTCTAGTGGTCTTTCTAAGATTGTGACATCTATGTTTGTAATTTTTTCTTTTACATTTAAGTTTATTTTGTTCCCTTTCATTACTTTTTTAGGCTTTTGATACTAATCTGCAAGTTGAGTCATCACATAAGATAGAGAGAAGGAGAGGGAGAGGGAGGGAGGATTTTTCATTATGCTAATTTTCATTGATTTCAATGGATGTCTTACTGCTTGAAACTACTTCATATAAAAATAATACAGTAAGCCATCCACTAAAATCAATGAAAATTAGAATAATGAGAAAGTATGATGTTATTAAGAAAACACTCTTCTCACTAGACAACTAATTATGACCATTTTTTCATTCCACGTTTCTCTAATAACATCATATTTTTTTATACTTTTGTTTCAAAGCACACCTAAATCATATCTTATGGTGCTTGATTATATACCCTCTTAGATTTTGAAATCAATAAAAGGTCACAGGCTGATCCTTTTTGATCTTTATATGTCTAAACTAAATGTTGTAACATAAATTTGCTTTCATAATAAATCTTCCAGGTATGAATCAAAATTGGTTTTTTGAAAATACTTTCAAATTTGGTAAACCTATGACCCATCACTGAATTACTCTCGCTCATAATGTCATTGCCCATCACTCTCTCCCATAATGTCATTGCACGACTCAGAAGTTTGATTTCTCTGTAGTTCACACATCTAATCTTTAGCTAGCACTTCTAGTCTTTATTTTTAAATCTTGATAATAAAAGGCTTACTCTACAATTATTCTACGTCCTTTTATTCTTCAAAATTCTATTGAAAACATTTTCCAACCAATTTATTGAAATTTCCACCAAATTTTATAATCTAGATAGGTATTCCATGTGTATCTCAAGGCCTACCTATATGCATTATTTTAGAGTTTGATCAATTATCATTTTTTTGGATCTATCTATAATATCTTTCAATATTATCACCGTGCTATTTCAAAATTGTTTCCTCCATGCATCTCTCATTTTGGAATTTCTCTTGAAATTAACATTTACATGGCTTTTCTAATTGTCATATCTTCAACCAAGGTCTTATTATCTTCATTTTTAGCTCATATAATTTGATTAATATTCCTAAATTTATTATCTCTTACTTTACCTATTCTATATGCCTCATTTTCTCATTTTTTATCAAGCTTATTAAAAATTTTCTCATTTTTTAATCAAACTTATTATAAATCATTAGAAGCTTTAATTTTGTTGCTTTGCTTATTAGCCTCTTTGTTAGAATTCTAGTTTTTTATAATAATTATAAGCAGAAGCAGTATCTCATTTTTGCATCTTTTGTAAATAAAGTAGTGTTCAACTTTTACCACCTTTTATAAACATATTTCTTTTCTTTAATCATTATTTTTATTTCTTCACTTTACATCCTTCTCTACTTATATTGTTTGATCCATTTACGGACTCTCCTAGAACTTGTTGAATTCTCTTAATAGAATTAATCGTCGTATTCCACATTTTGCTCTAGTGAAAAAAAATTCAATTTGCTTCTCTTAGTGACCTATCTTTGAAGGATTAATTATTTTTCACTTTCCAAATTTTACTATATAATCCTAGTGTCATAATTTTTTTTTATTGTTTTGTTTATGATATCCAGGTATAAATCCATAATTACTTTCCTATGTTGTGCATGCAAGCACTCTCTTAGAACCACTTCATAACTTTTGTAGGAAGATTTTTTTTCCTAAGAGGAAATTTATTTATGATTTGGTGACTGCTTTTGTAAATGATCAATTGTTCTTGGATCATGAAATGTGTATTTGTTGTTGCTTGATTCTATGCTATTGCCAAATCATCATAATTTCAGAGAGAGAGAGAGAGAGAGAGAGAGACTTTTAATGGGACTGGATTCCTTGCATGCTTTGGAAAATTTATCAATGAATTACATTTCTGCATTTAATTGATTGAGAGAACCATAAATTGGAGGTAAATGAGCAGAAGTGGAATAGCCACTTGAGGAGGAAAAACAAGTTAAAGCTTCAAATGAAACCATAAGATGTCACAACAAAGAATATAGGGTAAGTAAAACACCTTATAACATTTTTGTACTCTCGATCTCTTGTGATCTCAAGTGATAGATGTCGTGGGGATTTGCAATGCTAAAGAGCGCATTAGAGGAGAGAGGGGATGGCAAAGTTTCAGTAGCTTCTACTGCAAGATTGTAGGTCATTCGGCAATCTGTAGTGGTTGCATTTCATGTTCTGTGTAGCACCCAGAGGTCATTCGGTTGTACAGTGCTTTGTTGCTTTAAAAATTAGATTGGAATGATGTTTCAGTAGCTTCTACTGCCAGATTGTAGGTGTTTCGGCAAGTTATAGTGCTTGCATTTCACGTTCTGTGTAGCACCCGGGGATCATTCAGCTCTGCACTGTTTCGCGCTTTGAAAAATAAGATAGGGAGCACTTCAAATTTGAGACTCGCTCTGTTGAGTTTTGTGAATTGATTGTGGACACTTTTGAGGTTGTGATTGTTGTAATTTAGGTGTTAAAAAAGCACTACTGGGATGAATGTTAACATTTTAGTTGATGGCTGTTAGCCACAGGCATAATTTCTTGTATATTAGATAGGAAAACGGAAGCTTTCCTGTGCCTAACTTGGGATTCTCGGCCATGCTAATCTTCTAACCTTACGACTGTGCTTTTGCACAAGTTTTTTGAATTTATTTTTTGTGAGATCAAATTGAAACTTAATCACATAAATACTTGGCTTTTCATGATAAGCCAATGTATCCATTTTGGAGGATGGGTTTATTTTGCTTGATCAATTACCTTTTGGTTTGTTTGGTCTACATATTGACCACGGTGTTGGCTTAACAGTAAATGACATCTTGGCTACAGTTTTCTCTCAATAGTTCACTTGTTTGGTTTTCCGGAATCTAAGGTTGCAAGGTTTCAGTTCAACAACTGATAATTTTCTTATTGTTGTCCAATTTGGCCAGCATTTATATCGCAAGCTAGCTTGAAGCCTAACTGATATAAAAAGAAATTAAAGGCTAGTTCCTAATTGTCATTTGACTCCTTGCAGATATAATTGCAATGTTTTGAAAACAATAATCAATATTAAATAAAACAATGCAATCTGGATAATGCCGTACTTCTAATAATTGGACCAAATGAACCCCATTTTGCTGTTCATATTTTTTCTTATCATTTTATCGGTAAATTGTTGTCTTTTGATATGATGCTACCTGATATTGAACCATGAGCATTTAACATGATGAAGACATTTTTCAGTATTTTATGTAGCATATGCACTTATAGGCTCTGTTAAGGAATTGGAAGATAGGAAATAAAGAGCAAGTGGAAAAGTAAAGGACAACGGAATCGAAATGAAATTGATTTTCACCCATTTGCTTGATTGAGAAATTGAGTGAAGTATTTTTTTCCTTTTGTTTCAAGTTTTTGTTTCTTATATGAGGAAACATATTTAGCATCAATGATGATTTGGACATATCAGCATCAATGATGATTTGGTTGATTTTCTTCATATTTGTCACTAGGGTGGGACAGAAATTGTTAGTGAAAAATTTTGTTTGTTTATGTTTCCTAGGTAAATTCATCTAAGAATTACACTGCACTTATAGGCTTTGTTTGGTTTGTAGGAATTGAAAGAGAAAATAAAGAGCAAGTGGAAAAGTAAGGGACAAAGGATTTGAAATGAAATTGATTTTCACCCATTTGCTTGATTGAGAAATTGAATGAAGAATTTTTTTTCTTTTGTTTAGAGTATTTGTTTCTTATATGAGGAAACATACGAGCATCAATGATGATTTGGTTAATTTTCTTCATATTTTCACTAGGGTGGGACAGAAATTGTTAGTAAAAAACTTCCTTTGTTTATATTTCCTTGGTAAATTCATCTAAGAATTACACGTGCGCTTATAGGCTCTGTTTGGTTTGAATTGAAAGAGAAAATAAAGAGCAAGTGGAAAAGTAAGGGACAAAGGAATTGAAATGAAATTGATTTTCACTTATTTGCTAGATTGAGAAATTGAGTGAAGATTTTTTTCTTTTTTGTTTTGAGTTTTTTTTTCCCTTATACGAGGAAACATATGAGCATCAAATGATGATTTGGTAAATTTTTTTCATATTTTTCACTAGGGCGTGAAAGGAATTGTTAGTGAAAAAATGCTTTTGTTTATTTTTCCTGGGTAATTTCATCCAAGGGTTACATTGGAATCAAACAACTCTTATGAAATTGTGCCATAAAATGAATTTACATCACCACTAACTTCTTACAGTGCCTCAAGGCTTACGCATACCTTTGTTAGTTTTTGCAAGCATTATGTTTATTTTGAATATTTTACTTAGATTCTAAATCATTTTCTCATTGTAAAGCCTTGTTTTAAAAGAGACAACCATTCATGATGCCTCTGGCCTCTGTTTTTGTATTATTATTTTTAACTATTAATTTCTTGTCACCCCTGCCAGCCAATTCATTGACTGTGCTATCATTATGTTTAGTGTCACCACCAGACGTACCTACGAACATGTTCAAACTTGGCATGAAATGCTTGTCAAGTGAGAATCGAACACTTCACCTTGCATTCTTTCCTATAAGGTTATAGTCAAGGTTGTGAAAATCCTGTCGGACGTCAGGGTTCAAAGGTTGAACTGAGATTGAATTGGATGATGTAATAAGCATTGAACTTATTTTCATATAATTTACATGATGTAATCATATTTTTTTTACTATTTTAATATATAAATACAATATTCTAATTTAGGGTGCTTTGCTCTTCAATCTTTTAAATAGAAGTCTAAATAAAAAATTTGGGACAATATTATTTTTAGGTTCTTTTATTTTAATTTAAAGTTTTTCTTTGTAATCATAAGGTAAAATAAAGAAAAAGAAAACAAAAAAAAAAAGATCAATATTTGAACCGGTTGGCTCATTGAAAACCAGTTTGGTTCCTTGGTTCAACTCTGATACCGTGAAAATGAGGTTTTAAATCTGGACTGAATTTGCGGGAGGACCGGTTTTCGGTTGAACTAGTTGGACTGGCCTATTCAATTTGTCTTTTAAAACCATGGCTACAAGAGTTATAATCTTGTCTTACTTATTTACCTTTGTGGCTATCAGGTTTCGCAGGAACATTCCTATTGTTCTTTGTGGAAACAAGGTTGATATCGAGAACAGGCGGGTCCAGACCAACATGGTTACAATTCACAGGGAGAGAAATCTTCAGTATTACGAAATCTCTTCAAAGAGCAATTACAATCTTGAGAATCCATTTTTATATCTAGCAAGACAACTTGCAGGGTAATGCATTTATTACTTGTGGTTTTAATTATCTTATTACTGTTGTTGAACTTTTTATTATCAATATGTGGCTAGTCTTCTGATTTTTTATATACTTTTCCTGCAGGGATCAAAACCTTCACTTTGTTGCGCCCCCTGCTCTTGCTCCTCCAGATGTTCAAATTGACCTCGCTCAACAGCAACTGTTAGTCACTACCAATGTTTCATTAGTTTCTGCGTATTTTTCTCATATAACTTCTCAAAGGAAATGATTTACATGAGAATTTTGATTGTGAAATCACCACTTTGCAAGTGAAATTTTTTATGAACTGCTTGTTTCTTTATGTGAATATGATGCTTTTATTTCTCAATTGATGAAACAACGCCTAAGTTTAATCTTTCAATTGAAGAAATTTATTGTTAGAGTTCTAAAATATTATTCATCATTAGTAGCTTGGCCGAGATGATCATTTTCTTAAGTTATATTCAGTTTCTCTCAACTAAATGGTAATTTGTTTACTTATCAGGCACGAACAGGAGCTTGCTGCTGCAGCTGCCCAGCCCCTTCCCGATGATGATGACGAGTTTCTTGATTTAGGTGAGTGCTCTAAATATATGTGGAATGAGTTGTGCTCAGAACGCCTTGAACTATTGTAAATATCACCGAGATCACGACCACGACACAGAGGAATGTAGGCACCTACGAAGTCTCATTGAGGAGTTGATCCAAGCGGGGAAGCTAAAGGAGTTTGTGCCCGGAACGCCTTGTGTGTTAAGGAGATCAATTCATTCTGAATGAAAGGTGATTTATAATCAGTCTTATTAGAGTTTTCAGTCAGTCAGGGTGTGTGGAACCTATGGTTCCAAATGATTTTTGAGGTGTCAAAATTCACTGTTTTTGAGATTTTGAAAGTTTCATCTCCAAAATCTCATAAATTCATTCTATTGAACTTTATATTAAATCAAAGATCCTGGTTTTCATACAGTGCATGGACAGAAATGTGGAATCGCATCGACAGAAATATGGAGTCAGACTAATTTTAAAGCATTTTACGTTGAGTAATATGATTGCTATGTGTATTTTTTTCATTAGTTTTAAGAATCCTAATGCTGAAACCTTTGTCCAAACATAATTTCAAATAGGTTTGACTTAATATATACTGAATTCTTATATTATCAATGGTATGATGATAAGGTTTAATATAATGATTTGAACTCATTCCACTCTTAGAGGTTCAAGCTTTATTGTCTATTGAACCATGACAGCTCGCTGCTTAGGGCTTGTTGCAGCTCTTTTAAAGGTAATTTTAAAATTGCTGTAAGAAAATAATTTTCATGATAGTTATTGGCTATATATGTGTGTGTATATTATCTATATATATATGTCTATATATATATATATATATAAACTGTTAATTTTTATAGCTATTATATAATAACAAATATAGTTCTAAAAAATGGTTTTCATCATCCAAGTTTGATCTGATTTGAAAGGCCGCCCTCTGATGCTTGTTGAATATCAAAATAACTCTCTTATGCTTGTTCCGTCTGCACGGCCAGCTCTGTCATGTTTTTTTTTTAGATTTTAAATTTGAGTTTTTTGAAGGCGAGTGAAGGATTTAGAAAAATTTTTTAGTATAGGTGTACATAAAAAATTTGTCAGCACGAATCATAAAGATATCTCACAGATAGCAGAAGAGGTGTGGTGGCCTTGCGGGACCTACAAAAGATGATGTAGGACCACACGCTCAGTCGGTAAGCCCTAACATATTAGGAAGACGGTGCGACTTAGATGGATAAAGGATAGATCGTCCCTTGAAGAAGCCATCTGACTAGATCCATTTGGATGAATCTGGTGTTTTCCAACACGGATAGACCAAGAATGGATCCTTCAAGTCGGTTGACTTGGACCCTCGGCAAGTAGCCACCAGGCCTAACCGCCCGAATTGATGTTCGAACTACCTTAAAGGCCACTCTGCTTGATGGCTGTGACCTTGCTGCCACTCCGGCTTAATGACCACCATATATGGGTCATATTTATGTATAAACTAAAATATCTCCGTTGCACCTATGTACTTTAGGGGCATAACATGTAATTGTATGATGACTCACTCCTATAAATGTGGAGTCATTTTCATGAATAAATGTTATTTATATTTACTATTCAATACTGTGCTATTGCTCTCATTTTTTTTTCTCTCTCATCCTTCGATGCTCTTCCTTAAGCATGCCTTCCCGACATATTTGTTAGACAACAATCTGAACATTCGACTTGTTAAATAACTTGCGTTCGATTCATTCGTTAAACAACAAACCGAACACAAATACTTTTTTGAGCTCGATTTATAAATGAGCAGAACATGAACAAAAGTTTGCTCATTTGTGTTTGACTTGTTTTGACTCATAATAATAAAATAATAATATATATTTATATCATTTTTATATTAATTTTTCTGCATATTAAAAATTGCTAATTTTTTTTATTTTAAAATTTTATTTGGGTGATGTAATTAAAAAAAGTATAATTTAAGGTGCTAGATATGTAAATAAATAGGATTTGGGTGATATCCATGTAAATGAGCTTAAAATATAACATATTCTTGATTTAGGGGTTATAAATGTAAATACATAAGAGTTGGCTGCTCCCTCACTCAACCCTGCCTTCCCATTTTTTTTGTCCCACATCAGCTATTTATAAAGTATTTATTCCACTGCTGTTTAAATATCCAATGAAGCGAGCTATGGATTTAGATCAAATTAAAGATGGGCTTATTTGATCAATTTAAGTAAAATTGTGTTGTATATTGAGGTGTTACTTTGACAATTAACATATACTTAACGAATAATTTTGAATATGAGTTGATCTGAGTTAATTTTGAACACAAATAGTAAACGGAATGAGTTTAGCTCGCTCATGTTTAGTTTGTTTGCATCCTTAGTTTTAGTTTTTTTTATTTCATCCATTTCATATCAAATTATTCGTGCTAGCATGACAAAATTTTTAAAGAATCATAATCAAACTCCTATCGCTGTGGCAAAAGTCAAAATATTAGAACCAGGCGATCTTGGTCTCGTTGGATTCGTCTCGTTGTGAAATTTGATCTGACAATTGCCTAGCCAAAGTTAGAGATTATATGGTCCTATAAAATATGCTTCAAAGCTTCTCTTCATGCTTAGAGTGCATAAATTTGCTCACTTGGACTTGAATCATATGATTTTTTTTTTATGTTATTTGATTTGTTTCACTGCAACTCTATATTTAATCATAATTGGAGATTAAGTATTTCCAAATTTAATTGAAGTTTTCGGTTCAATTGTTGGTCAAGATCGGTACGAATCAATTTAATTTTTAAGGATATATTAAATTTTATTTAAAAAATTAAATATTTTACAATCTAAAAATTGTGAAGCATCAAATAGTATAATATAAATAAGTAATCCGCACCCTAAACCTTAACCTAAACTCTAAAAGTGTGAATTTATTTTTTTTAATAATGATGTAATAATGAGTTTTAATATACAAATATCCAATATATTAATATATAATATTTTAATCGCATAAATTTAAGAAAAAAATTTTGAGACTCAAAAAAAAATTTTTTTTACTTCAATTATTTTTTTTTTATTTGGATGATTAACAAATTTTTGAGTTTATCAAATTAAAATATGTCTTCCTTTTTTAGAAAAATTATTTCATACAGACAGTGTATGTATTTTTATATGTGGTGTCCGATTTATACCGTAGATTATCGATCTTCACCGTCTGATCAAATTTTTTCTCAAAAAAATGAGCTCATCAAAATACATCTTTACGATAACCAACAGCGTGAATGCGTGGAATAATTTTCGGCTCTTTGGTCTACTCATTTGGCTCGGCCTAGTTGGGATGAAATAGTTTCGAGTGTATGATGCGTCTCAGAACTCTAACGTAGATGCTGAAGCCACGTGTCCCGTCGTACCATCCTGCAGTAGGTCGGCACGCGTGTTAGAAGCCATGGTGCTGGCCGGTTCCCTTTGTCAGTTTATAGCCCGGTGCCGAGCCGCCAATCACACAGCTCTTTCTCTGGATTCCATACGCATTTGGCGCACGAGAGGGACGGCGATCTCATTCTCAGTCACCGGAAAAGAGAGCTTTGAGTTAAGAAGCAATGGTATTGCTGCCAATCTCTTTTTTAACTCTGTTGCGAATCAGTCTTTTACCCTAGGTTTAGCGTTCCCTTTTGCTTATCGCTGCTTCGGTGGATCTTGATTCGGTTTTAAAATGGATCATTTCTTAGGCGCTTCCCAACCAGCAGCAGGTTGATTACCCGAGCTTCAAGCTCGTAATCGTTGGGGATGGTGGCACTGGTGAGTTTTTCTTCGTTTTATTTTGGTTCCTTCAGCTGTTTGTTGGTGACTAACTTTTTTGGTTAGGTTTTATAATTTTGAGGGATTTTATGATCTTTTGCAGGAAAGACTACTTTTGTCAAGCGACATCTGACGGGGGAGTTTGAGAAGAAATATGAGCGTAGGCATCTGATTTGAAATATTCTAATTGGTTGCTTTATTGAAGTTCTCATTTTATTTGTATTTATTTATTTTTTTTAAATCCCGAATGGACGGATTGTTTCCGGTGAATTATGTACAGCAACCATTGGCGTTGAGGTCCATCCCTTGGATTTTCACACCAACTGTGGGAAGATCCGTTTCTATTGCTGGGATACGGCTGGGCAGGAAAAGTTTGGAGGGCTAAGAGATGGATATTAGTGAGTCTCCTCCCTAATTCAAGCATGAAATACCAATCACTTTTTTTTTTTTTTTTTGCTGAATTTCTAAGAGCATATTTAAACTTCATTGATTTCAGTTTTGCATTTAATTGATTTTTTATGCATTGTATAAACTGGAAAATGAAATGGTTTTGCAATTAGGATTCTAAAAGTTAAGTGTTAATCTTGTGTTCCTGTGTGAATATCAATGCTCGAGTGAAGCACCCTATGGTGTTTTTTCAATAAAGTATTGACATACTTTTCACTTACCATCAGTGATTATGTCTTTCTTATTCACTTTTTTAATTATTTGATTTATTTTTTTTTCCCTGGTTGTGGTTTTCTTGTTCTGCTGAAGCTCATGCGCTTGTGTATGCCTTAAGGCCTTCTGGCCCCTAAGTTGATATTTAGATTATTTTTCTTGTCTCATAGTCTTTGTTGAAGGCGTTCACCTTTTCCAACAGAATCAACATGCTTTTAATGTCCATGTGAGAACAATAACAACAAAGCCTTAATCCCACTACGTGGGGTCGGCTACATGAATCCTTTTTCTCCATTGCGTCCTATTTAGTGTCATATTTTCATGTAGTTCTAATAAATTCAGATAATTTTTTATACAATAAGCCCAAGTCGAATCTAGGTCTATCTTTGCCTTTCTAGGTCTACCTTTGCCTTTCTTAACATAAGTCGAATCTAAATTCATCTAAGGATTACACGTGCACTTATAGGCTATGTTTGGTTTGAAGGAATTGAAAGAGAAAATAAAGAGCAAGTGGAAAAGTAAGGGACAAAGGAATTGAAATGAAATTGATTTTCATCTATTTGCTAGATTGAGAAATTGAGTGACGATTTTTTTCTTTTTTGTTTTGAGTTTTTTTTTTCTTATACGAGGAAACATATGAGCATCAAATGATGATTTGGTAAATTTTTTTCATATTTTTCACTAGGGCATGAAAGGAATTGTTAGTGAAAAATTGTCTTTGTTTATATTTCCTCGGTAATTTCATCCAAGGTTTACATTGGAATCAAACAACTCTTATGAAATTGTGCCATAAAATGAATTTACATCACCACTAACTTCTTACAGTGCCTCAAGGCTTACGCATACCTTTGTTAGTTTTTGCAAGCATTATGTTTATTTTGAATATTTTACTTAGATTCTAAATCATTTTCTCATTGTAAAGCCTTGTTTTAAAAGAGACACCATTCATGATGCCTCTGGGCTCTGTTTTTGTATTATCTTTTTTTAACTATTAATTTCATGTCTCCCCTGCCAGCATCCACGGACAGTGTGCTATCATTATGTTTGATGTCACCGCCAGACTTACCTACAAAAATGTTCCAACTTGGCATAGAGATCTCTGCAGGTGAGCATCAAACACTCCACCTTGCATCCTCTCTTATAAGCTTATAGGCAAGGTTGTGAAAATCCTGTCGAACGTCATGATTCGAAGAAGGTTGAAGTGAGATTGAATTGGATGATGTATCAAACATCGAACTTATTTAATATAATTTATTTTAATATAATTTACATGTTGTAGTCATTATTTTTTTACTCTTAACAGATAAATATAGCATTCTAATTTAGGATGCTTCGCTCTTTAATATTTTAAATAGAAGTTTAAATCAAAATTTTGGGACAATATTATTTTTACTTTATTTTTATTTTAAAGTTTTTTTTTTGTAATCATAACACAAAAATAAAATAATTAATTACATAACTAAAAATTGATCAATATTTGAACCGGTTGGCTCATTGAAAACCAGTTTGGTTGATTGGTTCAACTGTGGTGGACTAAATCTGCAGGAGGACCGGTTTTTGGTTGAACTAGTTGGACTGGCTTATTCGTTTTGTATTTGAAAACCATGGCTACAAGAGTTATAATCCTGTCTTTCTTATCCATTTTCGTGGCTATCAGGGTTTGCGAGAACATTCCTATTGTCCTTTGTGGAAACAAGGTTGATGTCAAGAACAGGCAGGTCAAGGCCAAAATGGTTACATTTCACAGGAAGAAAAATCTTCAGTATTACGAAATCTCTGCAAAGAGCAATTACAATTTTGAGAAGCCATTTTTATATCTAGCAAGAAAACTTGCAGGGTAATGCATTTATTACTTGTGGTTTTAATTATCTTATACTGTTGTTGAACTTTTTATTATCAATTTGTGGCAAGTCTTCTGATTTTTTATGTACTTTTTTCTGCAGGGATCAAAACCTTCACTTTGTTGAGTCTCCTGCTCTTGCTCCTCCAGAAGTTCAAATTGACCTCGCTCAACAGCAACTGTAAGTGACGACCGATGTTTCATTAGTTTCTGCGTATTTTTCTCATATAGCTTCTGAAAGGAAATGATTTAGATGAGAATTTTGATTGTCAAATCACCACTTTTGCAAGTGAAATTTTTTATGAACTGCTTATTTCTTTATGCGAATATGATGCTTTTATTTCTCATTTTTTACAATTGAAGAAATTTATTGTTAGTTCTAAAATGTTATTCATCATTAGTAGCTTGGCCGAGATGATCTTTTTCGTCACATACATTCAGTCTATCTCAACTAATGGTAATTTGTTTACTTATCAGGCACGAACAGGAGCTTGCTACTGCAGCTGCCCAGCCCCTTCCCGATGATGATGATGAGTCTCTTGATTAAGGTGAGTGCCCTAGATAAATGTGGAACGAGTTGTACTCTGAACGCCTTGTGTGTTAAGGAGATCAATTCGTTCTGAATGAAAGGTGATTTATTATCAGTCTTATTAGGGTTTTCAGTCAGTCAAGGATTCGAGTGCAAACCTTCATTACCTTTTATTCCATTTAAATGAATTGTGAACTTCTGGTGTGTGAAACTTTTGTTTCCAAATGATTTTTGAGGTGTCAAAATTCACTGTTTTTGAGATTTTGAGAGTTTCATCTCCAAAATTTCATGAGAAAAAAAATCATCTGATTTTATGATATGAATTCATTCTATTGAATTTTATATTAAATCAAAGATCCTGGTCTTCATACAGTACATCGACAGAAATATGGAGTCAGACTAATTTTAAAGCATTTTACGTTGAGTAATATGATTGCTATGTGTATTTTTTTCATTAGTTTTAAGAATCCTAATGCTGAAACATTTGACCAACAACAACAACAACAACAAAGCCTTAATCCCACCATGTGGGGTCAGCTACATGAATCCTTTTTGTCAGTGCGTCCTATTTAGTGTCATATTTTCATTTAGTTTTAGTAAATTAAGATCATATTTAATACAATAAGCCCAAGTATTCCTAGGTCTACCTCTGCCTTTCTTAACACAAGTCAAATCTAAAACTACTTTTTTTCATTAGTTTTAAGAATCCTAATGCTGAAACATTTGACCAAACTTAATTTCAAATAGGTTTGACTAACAACAACAACAACAACAAAGCCTTAATCCCACCATGTGGGGTCAGCTACATGAATCCTTTTTGTCAGTGCGTCCTATTTAGTGTCATATTTTCATTTCATATTTTCATTTAGTTTTCATATTTTCATTTAGTTTTAGTAAATTAAGATCATATTTAATACAATAAGCCCAAGTATTCCTAGGTCTACCTCTGCCTTTCTTAACACAAGTCAAATCTAAAACTACTACTCTCCTAATTGGATTATCAGATGGTCGACATTTAATGTGACCAAACCATCTTAGACGAATTTCTCTAATTTTGTCCGTCACAGGAGCTACACCAACCCTATCACGAATATATTCATTTCGCATTTTGTCTCTTAAGTGTAAAACCACTCATCCACCTAATCATTCTCATATCGACAACACTTTACTTATTATTATGCTTCTGTTTTAAAGGCCAACATTCAACACCATAAAGCATTACCACCGTCTTATAAAATTTTTAAAATTTTCCTTCCAATCTAAGCGGCACTTTTCTATCACAAAATAGGCCCGAAGAATTCCTCCACTTCAACAAACCAACTTGAATTCTATATCACCATCGCTTTGAACAACGGACCCAAGATATCTAAATCGTTCACACCTTTTAATAATTTGATCACTCAAAGTCACACTTCTGTCACTAGAGCTATTACTACTAAAATTACATTCCATGTGTTCAGTTTTAGTACTACTTAAACGAAGGTCTTTAGAATCCAAAGTAGACCTCCATAATTCAAGTTTTTTCTTGGCTTTTTCTCTCGTTTTATCTACGAGAAGGATATCTTCAACAAAAAACATACACCAAGGTACATCCTCCTTACATCCAGGTACATCCTCCTGTAGTTGTCCAGTAAGACCATCCATAACTAAAGCAAAAAGATATGGGCTTAAAGCCTATCTCTAATGTAATCCAACAGAAATAGGAAAATATTTGGTCAAACCTTCTTCCGTTTGAACACGTAACAACTCTAGTATACATATCTTTAATGACTTGAATATAAGTCATATCAACAAAGTCATATCAAGAATATAAGTCATATCAACACATTTCTTCTCAAGAACTCTACAAAGGATATCTTTTGGAATCTTATCATAAGCCTCGACTTAATGACCACCATATCTGTGGGTCCCATGGGCCATATTTATGTATAGACTAAAATATCTCAGTTGTACCTATGTACTCTAAGGGCATAGCATGTAATTATACGACGACTCACTCTTATATATATGGAGTCTATTTCATGAATAAAGGTTTTGCAAATTTATTGTTCATTACTGTGTTATTGCTCTTCTTTTCTCTCTCTCATTCTACAACGCTCTTCCTTAGGCGTGCCTTTCAGACATATTTAGATTCAACATCCTAAAAAGTGTGATAAGTGTAGAGTTATGCTGTTAATAAGAGGAGGAGCACCGTGACCATAAAGAGAAGGGAGTGACCAAAGAGTAGTAGCTAACGTAGTTCCCCCACGAGACAACATCGAGGGACCTATGCAGAAAGGAATGTCGGAGATGAGAACTCAATTCATGGAGCAAGTGTCGGACCAGATCGCCGAAGTTCTGAGGGTTATCATAGCTCTAGCAGGAAATCAAGCATCACAAGAACGAAACTACCGACAGGAGGTGGTGCTGACGCACAGCGACAGGAGGGTGAACAACAGTCGTTAGGGGGCTGACGACAATGCAGGATCGACACAAGTGAAAAGACGACGTTTAGGCGCACTGAGGCACCACATTAGCCGGGGAATCCTTTCTCCCTCCAAGTATTTGTAGCGAAGCCCCAAAAAAATTCCAATTGACAGCCTTGGAAGTATATCGGGGGCGGTCAAACCCCAATGATAATATCACTGCAATTGAGTCGGTCGTGTGCTTTCTCAAAATCTTAGATGCGTTCAAGTACCGTTTGTTTTCCACCACATTGAGGTTGTCGGCCTTGAAGTGGTTCCTTGCAGTTCTGCTTGGGAGCATCAACAACTTTGTTGATTTCAAGAGATTGTTCTTAGCCCAGTTTGCTAGTGCCTAGAAACCCACCAAGAGCATGCAGTCCTTATGACAACTCAAGCAGGGTCAGCATGATAGTTTGCACTCATTTATTGCATGCTTCCAGAGAGAAATGTTGGAAGTGAAATACCTTAAAATCGACACGGCCGTAGACGCCTTGAAGCAAGGCTTGGGGTTTGGGAGGTTTTTCTACGACTTCAACATTAACAAACCCCAAGACTTGGTCGAGCTGTTGGACAGAGCCAACAAACACATGCTAGCGGAGGAAAGTACCTCCAAGCAAGATCTAGAAGGGTGATGCTCAGAAGAGAGCTCCCCTCAGCGGCAGGTTGAAGCCAGGGGAGAACACAAACCACTCGTCTGACACTGTTTTGAAGATGAACACTCCTCTTGTGACAACTGAAGGACCGGACGATACAACCATCACGGTGGCTAGGCGAGGAGTTAACACCCGCAACTGGCCCGATATTATGAGAGGCTGACACAACTTTATAAACAGCTATACGGAGATTATCAGGGCTTGTGAAATACCCCTTTGAGGGCGTTAATGACAGAAATCATGGACACCATCCAAATAATATTTCAAGGAATCGACCTTGATGAGAGTCGGAGGTTTTCTCCAGGATGCGAGGAAGTATTATAAATATCACCGAGATCACGATCACGACACAGAGTAATGTAGACACCCACAGAGTCTCATTGACGAGTTGATCCAGGCGGGGAAGCTGAAGGAGTTCGTGGACCAGGGACACTCAGGTTAGAGAAATTGAAAAACACCAGCATTAGAGGTCCGTCCAGACGAATGTCGTCCTTGTCGCCGGCATAGTCCCGACTATCCTTGGAGGAATGGATGCCCCTCCGCGGAGCTCCCAAAAGAGGACCAGGACGGACGAGTTATGCAACCTCTCATCCATGCAGAGGTGAGGAAGCTGTCCTCCCATCACGTTCAGAGACGACAACCTTTCACAATGAGGAAACCCCTATGATGAGGCCATAGTCATTATAGAGATAATCAATAACTTTCAATTGGGAGCATTCTCATCGACACAAGCAGCTTCGTGAACATTTTGTTAAAGTCAGTGTTCGATAAGTTTAACCTTCGGGCCGACTACTTGGTAGCGCTGACCGACCCACTTTTTGGTTTTTCAAGTGAAATAAAGGAAGTGTTGGTGTAATGCCATTGGCGGTCACATGGGGTGAAGGAGAGAAGCAATTCACTGAGACAATATTTCCTGATTCACCCCAATTTACAACAATTTGGCCGCCCACTCTTAAACCACTTCAGAGTCGCGGTGTCCACCTACCACGTTGCAGTAAAGTTTCTGGGAGACGAAGAAATAATTACTATCAGGGGTGATTTGCAGCAGTTGCGAATCTGCTACCTTTGGGCAGTCGGGAGTGTGGAGTAGGGACCGCTCGACTTACAAAACCAGAAGGAGGGCGGCCTCCAGACCAGTTAGACCACTTGAAAGTTTTGCTTTGGCGAGGATGAATCTGGTAAAATTTTCCTTATAAATGACAGCTTTGATGCAAGACACCGAGAGTTGCTAATTCAAAAACTTCGGGACCACCGTGATGTCCTCTCATGGTTTGCCACATAAATGTCGGGAATTTCGATTGATGCCGCTTGCCCTAGGTTGAACGCGAGCCATACATTCCGACCAATCAAACAAAAGACGAGGAACTTAGTGATCATGCTGACTTGGCTCATCAGGGAGGAGGTGCTGAAGCTGCAAGAGGCGGGGTATATTTGAGAAGTACAATACCCCACATGGCTCTCAAACGCCATCATGGTCCAAAAGTCCAAAGGGAAGTGGCGGATGTGCGCCGGCTTCACCTATTTAAATGTCGCATGGTCGAAGGATTGTTATCCATTTGTCAAGGATTGTTGCCCCGGTGGACGTGGTTGTAGGATATTTGATAATGAGCTTCCTAGACGCTTTCTCTGACTATTATTAGATCAAAATGCACCCGATAGATGCTGAAAAAACCGCCTTTATTACAGTTGAAGAAGTTTTCTATTATGATGTAATGTTTTTTGGGCTTACGAGCGCTGGAGCAACGTACCCCAATTTGATGGATCTAATTTCTAAAAATAAAAAAAAAGGAAAGAACGTTGATGTCTATGTTTGTCCTCGTATAAAGCCATATAGTTGAACAACATAAAAAAAGACCTAAGAAAGTATAATATGAGGTTGAACTCCTTAAAATGCACATTTAGAGCCTCAACTGACAAGTTCTTAAGCTACATCTTAACCGCCGAATGCCTAAAAGCAAACTTCAACAAAATCTAGGTGTTGATTTATATTCCGCCCCCACGAAATACTCGAGAAGTTCAAAAATTGACCACCCGAATCACAATTGTAAGTCGGTTCATTTCGAGGTCGGGCGACAAGTGTTAGGGGTTCTTCAAAACTCTCCGGAAGGCTGAAT